TAATTTCGAACTACCGCAATGTTTTGTACCGCGCTATTGGCTATCCCTCTTATTCCTTCCTTTGTGTTGTTTCTGTTACAGATAAGGCATAAACGCGCCCTCTGAGCTCAAAAGGCCGTTACGGTCCGAGTTTCCAAAGTAATATTTTTATTTTCGACAACTCCGAATTAGGTTTTCGTGCAGTGTCTCAACGGGAGGTTCCACGACGAACCGTAATCATTGTCACAATGATAGCCTACCCAATAACATAGAAGAATTGCATTTCCTCTGTGCCAATAATCATTAAAGCCTCAAAGTCGAGAACCATCGTCATGGTGTGATCTGCTGCACCGGCCACCAATCACTGATCACATAACCTGGCCAAGAAGAATGGTAGCAAAACTAAACGAGTAAGTTTCGCCATTTACCGTAAAACAATAGCGCTGAAAACGAATTTCTGTCACTACGAATTAAAAATGACATCTAATAGAAGTTACCCCTCGGCGAGAGTATCGCAAATTAATGTACTTCAAGGATCAAGCCCTACCCTAAATGTTTCCAACTCCTCAAAAAATTCGGAGGAAAGGGTATCGGAAAGTGAATCTTCCGAAGACGAATTTCTTGTGAACTGGGGACCGGAAAGTCCTGACCCCAATATATTTTTTCCCGGTGAGTCTGCCATGTTAGAATTCCTAAGCACGTGATACTTTTTTGTAGTTGGATGGGGCTCGCATGGTTTGGAGGAGGATCCTTGGAACGATAAGAATAAACCCTACGTCAAGCTGACGCGCTATGAAGACTTGGAGTTAAACGAAATGGAACAGCAAGGTGTTTTAACGGACCGCATTCTTGCTGCCTGTTCCTCCTACTTGGATAAATCGCCCGAGACTAACGGATTTGTGCTGTGCAAGGCAAATCTTTCAAAGAAGGTTAAAAATCCACGGCGTGACTTCCCTATGTATTTAATTGCGAATTTCAGTTCCTCAAAGACATTAGGATTATTCAGTTACATCACTTTCTTCAATACGTCGATTTGTCCTATAATGACCTAACAAATGTGGAATCTTTAAGTGAACTGCCCTTTTTGATGTATCTGGATGTCTCACACAACTGCCTTGGAAAATTACTGAACTTCAACCCTCCACTTTATTTAACGTACGTTAATTACTCGTTCAATAATGTGGCAAAGATTAATGATCTCAGCTTGTTTTGGTCACTGGTCCATTTAGATATTTCCCACAACCAAATTAAGGTGATTGAAGGGCTTCAAGAACTTAAGTGAGTCTCGAGTGCCTTACCAATATTGCAATGTGTTATTCTGCAGATATTTAAAACATCTCAATTTGTCTTACAATATGATCAAGTGCATCGAAAATCTGAATCACATGCCGCTGCTGAGTTTGAATCTTGAAAGTAATGGCATAGAGACGTTTGAAGAAGGTGAAGGCCGAGGTTTAAAGACATTGCCCGACATTTTGAAATTAAACTTAGACTACAACCATTTAAGTACAATTAAATTCTGTGAAGGAATGGACACACTTCAGTCTCTCACTGTGCAAGCCAACAATCTTAGAGATCTGTTGGAGTTATCTTACTTGAGAAACTTAAATTCTTTAAGTGAAGTCGATTTTAGAGATAATTATCTGAGTAGTTTAGATCGATATTTCGACGCTTGCATATATAACGTCAACTATATCTCGGTTCTTGATGGAGAGGTTATTGATGCCGAGACTAAGGCAAGCGCTCTTAGGGCACTCAATAAATAAGATAACACTTTTTTGTACCTATAGGTGTCTGCTAAAAATGTTTTTGAGGGATCGATTCAAAGTGAAGCCTTTCGGAACGCATCTACAGCTATGTTTATACAGCAGTTAAACGATCCAGTTTTAGGTCTCCCTATTATTCCATTTGACATACCTCCCGCTCCAATTATCATATTAGTTGGTCCGCCAGGTTCTGGCAAAAGCAAGTTGCTAATCAAATTTTGCCGGTTAAACCCGAAGTAAGTAGCTTTAGTTGATGTTGAAACTAAAGAGTGAATTTATTTAGGCGCACTGTAAGAGGTGTAAGTCACACTACAAGACCCAAGCTTGAAGATAACGACCAACACAGTTGGTACTATCACGTTCATTTGGATGAGTTTTGGTCCATGGCTCGCAATGGAGAGTTTCTCACCGTGTCGCAAGTACTGGGCCATTGCTATGGTTTTGGTAACGGAAACGTACACTTCTTCGTTATCATCACGCTTGCGTTTTTAGCTCAACAAGAATTGGCCAAACCCGTGGGCAGTTCGTCTGCTTTGATACTCCACATGGATCTCAAAGGTGCCCTAACTTTGCGCGCACAAAATATGAAATGTCATCTGGTGCTGGCAATGCCTAGCTCGCAAGAAGTTCACATTAGTAACATATTAGACAAGTACCGTGTTTACAACGAGACTATTATCAGGTAGGCAGCAATACTAAGACACGAAATTGCGAACCGACTCGATTTTTAGTCGGAAAGGTGCACCAGAAACAAAAAGCGCCCCGTTGAAAGCAAAGGAATTGTTGGAGAGGTACAGTACAATCGCACAAGAAATAGAGAAAGCTGCATATTATGACAGTGAAACTTGGTCAGATAAAGTTTCACTAAAAAGTAAAGAAGAAACGGAAAGTACAACGGATCTTGAAAAAACGTAGGTAAGAGTTGAAGTACCATAATTTACTACTCAGTCCAACTTCAGCGCGAAATATGGAATATTAAAGAGCTCAATTCACCGAACCAAATCCGATGGTGCACCACCGCCAATTGGCAAAAGTGGCGGCGTTACATTTCAATCCAGCATGAAGAAAAGTCGGACTGTAAATGCCTCGATCAAGTTTGCCTTTCAATAAGCATGTCTGCGTTTCAGTTACTACACTCTTCGCGCAGTGTCACTTTTAACGAAGAAACTACCTCTGGAGCTCCGACGCCGTTGAATCAGAAAAGCATTAGCGGTACAATTCTTGGGGAAACTGAAGTTTTAAGCGTGCTAAGTAACTCAAGCGCTCCACCTACTGAGGATAAGGCGCAGAGTATTTGACGTCTATCCCTGCCAATTCACTTAAAGTTGCGATTTTAGATCAGTTCCCGTGCCCGGCTAAAACCATTACTGGTCCGAATAGCATGGCATTTTGTGTTAATGAAATACTGAAAACGCGAGACTCATATTTGGCTTTCCATCAGTCGAATCCTGGAGTTCTTTTGAGTACAGTGAGTATGAGCACCGACTTAAATATTCATTGTGATTAGATTTTCACGGACAGAGAAGATGAGGCGTTGGAAAAGCTAAAAGGTCTACTGAAATACTGTATACAAGCTCAATCGAAATCGGCGCCAAATTACGAATTTAAAAAGGATTCTGCGTACCAAGCAATTGTAGGCGCGAGGTTAAAGTCATTACATCGTGAAATCGAGAAGTAGGTAGTATGTCATTCCATCTGCACTCACTTACGGACCGATTTTAGTGAAATGTCTATTGGTCAAAAGCAATTGGATGAGTTTGCTCATAAGACCAAGCAAGGAAAACCGTATGAGAGCCATTTGAAAAGGTCAACTAAAGATGTAATCGAGGTAATGCGAGCCAGGCGTAATCAGGTGTTGGGTTATAAGCTACCCGATGATGTAGGGGTAGTCAACAACCCGTCACCTTTGGATTTATTAGACGATTAAATGTTTCTTTTTCTCAAATAAAAATAGTTACAATAAGCAAGTATATATTTTATCTGGCTACTCAGATATTCACAATGGTATACTTAAGTGGGAATGAGTTGACAAACTGAAACCCTGATATGACGATCATTAAATAATGTAACTCATTTAAAAATGCAAACCACAGTTCAGTTTTGTTAAAATACACATAAAAACAGGAAACTACTTGAATTTCTTTACGCATGGCCGTTATTATTATCAATACATTTACGATACCTCTTAGTCCGTATTAAATGAAAACGTCATAGAGATCCAGAGATTCTCGCGTTGTTGACACTAGAGTAAGGTCAGCGCTCTTTGGTAATTGCAGATACTTTAGAAGACATAGAAAAACTCTATGAAAAAAAATGCTGATCGACTCGATGGGATTAAATAGGTTCTCGTTAATTCATGCAGCAATCACAATTTTCTTAACCGAACAATTTCAACGTCGCGTATTATTTGAAACTCGATTATACAAAAACTGAACGTTTCACAAACGAAATTGTTTACTCGAACTTTACACCCAAACGCCGGTAAGCACCCGACCCCTAATTATTTACTTTTTCAGCCATTTTTTCTCTTGCAGCCATTAAAATCGAGTGGACAAAATTGACGCTTTCACAGTTTCTATCCATCCTCTCTTTTTCTTCGCTATTTATATTGCCGGGTAAAAAAAAACGGTAACGGACCCAACGCAAGTTTTGCGGCACCGTCCCTTTTACCCTTAAACCAATAGCAGCCCAGCGTGTTTATCTCGCCACAGCAGACACAGCGAAACAGTAAAGTTCGCTGCTACCTTGGTCTGATCCTCTAAATGTCATGTTTTTTAAATGGGAAATCAAAACTCTTTCCCCAAATTCGGTTTTAAAATCAACCGACTCGATGGGGAAGAAAGGTGTCTGAATGGCTTGACACAGCGCCAAAAATCCTCACTAGGGTAAAACGCTCCTATTAAATCTAAGCACTTTGTGATAATCCACCCTGATGGTTAGGCAACACACATTTACATCTGAAACAAAAATAGAATATGCTCTGTATATAACCAACGACCGTTTTGCGCAGATGCCGAATACTAGGGGATTTTGGTAACGAAGCTAGGAGAGAATGGAGGAAGATGGCGACGAGGCCGACGGAAGGCACACGCTTTCCCGGTTTTTTTTTATTATTCTTGATTATTTTTGGTGGTGGTGTTTTGAAGATGTATTTACAGGTAGTAACCATTTTATTCTTTCTTGTACTACATATTTAATCATTGAATTTCTTGCCACAATGTGATATTTACATTTTGCTGATTTTGCATAAACTACGATATCTGAATCATAGCGTACTCCATGCCTTTGTTTCGTGTACCGTTAGATGAATCATGTTTGTGTCATATTGTACAGATGATTATGCCATTATTTTGTTTAATTAAGTAATACTTCTGTTATTCATGAGGAGTTGATTATCGGTGTGATGTTGCTCTGTTCGATTGACCCGTAACAATTCCGTGAGGGAAGCACCTAATACAGTTTGATTGTTCGCTGTATCTGTTACTTTCTGTTTCGTGGCTCGCTACAGTTCTTGTGCGTTAGCTATACGAAGGGGGGCTCTTTTATTTGATGTTTCGATGTTTGTGTGTGCGAGTGGGTATTTCTGTCTCCGTGGAGTAGGTACCTAATGCAGTTAGATCTTTCGCTGTATCTGTTGCTTACTCGTCTCGTGCGGATTGTAGTTCTTAACATCTTAGCAATACGAGTGGGGGCCCTCTCATTTACATTTCCTCTATTTAAAATATGTTCTGTTTGAGCGATAATCGATTTTCACATGAATACTTGCTATTTGACCAATGGCATTCTCACATGTACTTTTCGTGTTAAATTAAATTATGTTAACTGAAGGATGGAGTAGAGCCACACCATTTACATGTTTCCTATGTACATGCAATTTGTTTATTTGACGAGTTGTGTTATTTCTATTGATCGTACAGGTATTTTGATGTTTTTTTGCACTGAATTGATTTATCATGTTTTCCACTGCATTTATGATGTCTTGTGTATTTTGTTTTTATGAACTTGTTTAATTGCATTTGATTTGATTATCTGATTTTTATCATACCATTTGAGATGTCTTATTTATGTGTATTTTCTCTTGCATTTTATTGCTGTTGGTGATTTATTTTATGTATTTGTATGGCCTATGCCAGGGTTTTAGTCCCGTAGAAGGTTTCCCTGGCATGGTCTTGTGTGTGCGTTAATATATTTATTTGATCTTGTCATTTCTTACGCACAAAAGTTCTGTCTTTTATTTAATTCCCTTCCCGATTATGTCTCACGTCCCAACACATAAAAGAACCGATTACACAACGTAGGAGTCCATTCGTGCCACCCATATCGAGCCGACTGTCATCCAAATTCAAAAGTGCCGCGAGACTACCATCGTTTCGACTTGAAAGGTAGGTGGCTCTGCTTGTAGTTTTTGTCAGAGTTGCCAACCGTAAGTATAGGGTAAGTCAACGTTTTCCGTGTCGGCTTGATAGACCCCCCCTAGGAACATTACAACTTACAAAATGTTTTATCGCAAATAATAAGGTCGTTTAGATGCAAGTTGGATTTACTATCTACCATTTACTTTCGCAATAAGGAGCATCTGTGCCAACATTACCTAACAAAGACAGAGATATATTTTACACTGTGGTAGAACACCGCACATGCGCAGTAGCGTCCGAATGTAAACAGCTGATAACCATAGGCGTCGCAAAAAAGGATCACTTCATATTAAGTTACGAAGCCCATATTTTGTAACTTCCGCATAGATTGAAATTGCACTTTATTTGCTGCTACGTTCACCGCAAATTAAACGCACCATTTCAATTATTACTTTCGTAAAAACTACTCGTGTTTTCTACTGTAATGTAATAACACCGTAAACCCCTCTATGTTCTACGGAAATAACACGTCAATGAAATGTCGGTAATGTCAATTTGACAGACAACTCAGTGCGCATGCTCAGTATTCTATTGTATAGCTATCTCCCTCCCATAAACCTCTCCACCGGACAGATTGCCGGATGCCGGTCACAGAACACCTGATCCCGGTCTACAATGTATGTTTGTCCCAGTGTTTTTCTTAAGATGCGAGTGGCTTCCGGGATATTATCGTGTCAATGTTGAACGAAAACATGTAATTGGAACAGATTTAATGGCTGAACGCTATATCTATGGAAGATTGTCTCACATAGTCACCATTGACACGGCCATGAAATAACTGCCATAAGAAATACGTAGTAAACTTCGAGGCAAAAGTGCAAAGTTGATTTCCAAATGAAATACTAAGAAGCAGTCAAAAATAATTAGTATTACAAAAGCAATTACTTGAATGTAACATATATAACCCCGAAGGTGCAAAATAGTTATTAACTAAGACGCTAAAGAGTTACGGAAGTTGTTTCTTTGTTGAGGGTCGAATCTTGATATCATGACCCGTTAACCCATTTCACAGCGTTTCATTGGCCCCATTCCTTCCACCCACATATCTCCGCTCCGTTCCGTACATGAATACCCCTCTGACAACTACATCGAACAGCTACGTCCTTGTTCTAAAATAATTCTTGAACCTCCTCTCCCCCATTCACCACACCTGCGAGTCATCGCCCCCCCCCCTTTCCTTAATTTTATTCTCTTATCTGTTCATTTACCCCATTGTTTCTTTGTATTTGATACGATAAATATTTAATTTTTTTTACCTTTTTTACTCTTTCCTCCTTGCATTTCTTTTTTCTCCTTTCTCCTTCCAGGCTTCCACCCCCTTTCCCAAATCTCATCAGTCATCACCTTCGACGTTTCTACATTTAGCTCCATTCCTTTCCTTTCTATTCGTCCCATCATTTCCTTCATCTGTTCTCTCTGTTGTCATGATCACTGCGTCGATCACGTATGCGAGGGACCATATCTTTCTTGTTATCACTACTATCCCTCCACCTTGACCCTGTCTTAATACTTTTTCTCTTAAGTAAAGATTAAATAAGTTTGGACTAAGTGGGAATCCCTGTCTTTTAGTCCTTTACATGTCCAGAACACTACAGACTCCTCCTTCCATCCTATTCTTGTCTCTCCATATAATTTCTTCACGAACTTTCCCATCTTCCACACGTTGTCCCTTTCCACTCTTTCAAAAGCTGCCATGCCAAGTCCATGAAAATTTGTTTTAAAATCAAAACCTTTTACAGAAGATCTTAAGGTTGGCTTATTTTTGTTCTCACCTATGGAGTGGTAAATTCTTTCTTATGTACCTACTCCCGTTTAACATAGTTTTTCCTACAAGATTCATGAACTTAATAGTGGTTGCGTTCTTCAATTCCTCCAATATGTTATCAACTTTTTAGGAGAATTTTTCGAAAGGCCCGTGTCCATGGAACACCGGCCGGTGAATACGCCACTGTTACGTTACAATGTTCTGTTGCATGTCTGTACGCGCCTTTAGGCTAAGCGCGCACTTGCGATTTTATGTCGCACGATTGTTCAGTCGTAAAAATAGTCACGCGCCTAAATTATTTTTTTCACGATTACGATTGCGCCCAATCGCAGACAAAAAAAACGCAAGTGCGCGCCTAGAAAAACTCACAAGTCTCTGTATCCGTACGTCCGTAACCGTCATTCAGTGTTGTTTTCTTTTTTCGCTTGTCTTTGTCTAACCCGACGTTTGAAATTTCCTTAGTAAGTATGCCAATATCATTAGCAAAACAAACAAACAAAGCTCTCTAAATGCGTCCTAAATAAGGGTAGGTATTGTTTGCGTAAATTTTTTATTTCATAATACAAAGTGAAAATGTTTACATTAGTAATATAAATTACTACTTAAGTGTATCTAAACTTCACGAAAATTATGAAATTAACGTCATCGATAATAATAATATTAAGTAATGAAGAAAATAATACGCTACACTCTTTTCAATCTTATCACAAAGAGTTTAGGACAATGTGAAGGGGTGAAAAACAGTAG